ACTGGATTTATACGAAAAATTTATCCTAAAAATGTAATATATATTCCCTATATAAATAACTTTAAATTAAACGAGTACTAAGTTTACTGCTATAGGGAGGGTACTAAAGTGTGTATTTATGTTAAATATTAATAGCTTAGTATAAAATAAATAAATTTGCCAAGTTTGATCCAAATATATCCATAAATAAGCAAACTGCGACAAATTTATTTTCCTCAATAGGAATAACATGGGAATTTTAAATTTAATACTATTTTGTATTATTTATCTCAATAACCGTTTGAGATAGGGCAAACCTTGTAATATAAAAATATGTATTTTTAGACGTTCTTTAACTTTTGTATTTATAAAAATTCTCTAATACTAATTGTTTGTGAAATATTGTCAAAAAAGTGAAAATTGGCCGCCATTTTTCAAGATGGCGGCCGAAGCACAGCCGGGATTTATGGGGACTTTTGATATTTTATTTATTTAGGCTTACTAAACAACTGTGCAAAGTTTCCACTTAGTCCGAATTTGTTAGGTTGATTTTCCTAATATTCTTCCACTATCCAAATCAGCTGATAATGAAAATTACCTTGAACATTTCCTATTTTCATTTTAGTGTGTTTTAAAAATGTATTGGACCCACTTTGTACAAGGAGTTGTTACCTATTCTTTATAGGTAACGGCTTCCAAGAAGTAAAAAATTGTACATGAAAAAGAATAATTTCTTTAAAAAATTGCAGAGATAAGACTGATAAGCATCTAATAAAAGACTGTTATTACTTGCACATATTTAAAATATCCATTATTTATAATATTGTATATTTATATATATACAATATTGTATATTTGTATATTTTATTATTTATATATTTATAAAATGTTAAGGGAAGCATGCCTAACACATTCCAGTTGGTTTTGCTTTGTTATTAATTTTGCCGAGGTCAGGCCTAGTTTTATGCTACTGGTCTTAGACTAGTACCGTATTTATCATAATGTTTGGTGTTATGGAGGTTAAACGTAAGTCCTGTTAACGTTTTGTAACATTGTGTAGACCTAGTGTATGGAACAAGTTGATGAATAAGTTTGATAGAGTACATTAAAAACCTACTAAATAACAAAGAAAAATTAGTTTGACTACAGTAATAGCTAAACAGACACAGGAAGCTAACATAGGATAAAAAGGTTAAATACCTGTAGTACTGTCAGTGATCCTGGAATTTAGGTCAGCGACCCAGGTTTCGAACCTAAAGGTTCATTTTCAAGCAGGTACCATAGTTAAAACACATAATCCTCTTCATAACTGTGGAGAGTCGTTATGACACATAAGACACGAACACGAAAACACTAAAAATTAAACAAAATTGGCCAATTATAATACTGGTACGGTAGCGTGCGTGGTGTAGCCGGCAAAAGATGAGTCATGACTGAGCACGTGTACGCGTCGATGTCGGAGCGTGACGTATGTGCCCCCTCCCACTCCCGTTGTCTTTGTCAGATCCTCGCCTCACATTGACACTGCCATCTATAATATCTATTGCAGTATTGTAAATTAAATTTGACATCTCATCACCCGTACAGTCATAAAATGGCCGCATACAATAGCTTTGTTCACCGACTTATTTCTCTACCTCTTAATGAAGATAGTTATAACGAGGAACTTAACATCATAAAACACATAGCAGTATCTAATGGATATAAAAGCTCCATCATAGACAAGATAGTAATTAAACATAAAAATGAAAGTAGGCCTAAGGTGTCAAAAGAGAAGCAGAAATACGTTTCCACTGAATATGGCACAGTATTGAACAATAGCCTTAAATCTGGAATGACTAAAAACAATTTTAAAATGTCATTTAAAACGTCAAATAAATTATCTTATCTCCTAAAACCACGAATTGTACAAAACACTGCTAATTTTGATAGGACAGGAATTTATAAAATTAAATGCAATGACTGCCCCAGCTACTACATTGGACAAACAGCTCGCTCGTTTACGCAAAGATTCAAGGAACACCTGGCTAAAACATCTACCAAATCTGCATTCGCAAACCATCTGATAGACACAAACCATAATTACACCGACATTGATACCAATCTGGACATATTGCATTACTGCAGAAAAGGCAAGCATATGAACACCATTGAAGAGTTTGAAATATACCGATCATCTAAAAACTGTCCTACCCATTTGCTCAATGAAAAGTTATCCTTCGAGTCAAATTTAATTTACAATACTGCAATAGATATTATAGATGGCAGTGTCAATATAAGGCGAGGATCTGACAAAGACAACGGGAGTGGGAGGGGGCACATACGTCACGCTCCGACATCGACGCGTACGCGTGCCCAGTCATGACTCATCTTTTGCCGGCTACACCACGCACGCTACCGTACCAGTATTATAATTGGCCAATTTTGTTTAATGTTTAGTGTTTTCGTGTTCGTGTCTTATGTGTCATAACGACTCTCCATAGTTATGAAGAGGATTATGTGTTTTAACTATGGTACCTGCTTGAAAATGAACCTTTAGGTTCGAAACCTGGGTCGCTGACCTTAATTCCAGGAACACTGACAGTACTACAGGTATTTAACCTTTTTATTAGTAAATTACGTGATCCAGAGGCTAAACATGTTAAACACAGGATGTTGGATTTTCATGTCTTGACAGGAATCAAAACACATCTGACTTGCACTGTAAGGAACTTTGAATTATTCATTGAGACACATTCGTGCGAACTTTGAATTATAAATGTAAAATTCGAGTTACTGAGGCTCGATGACGGGAACGTTTGAGTTACGGAGGTTGAATATAAACTGATCAAAAATTGTTAAAATTTGACTTATTGAGGTTAAATATTTAGAAACTTAGACTTATAAAGGTACTATAAAACACACACATTATGATTAACACATTCGCTGCAGCCCGTCAATGGCAGGCGTAGCCTCGGTGCGGTGCAGCGTCGAACAAACCCGATTGGCTTTCAAATATTTCTGTCTGCAAATAGCAAATAACGTGCAGTGATGTGCTGCATTACGACGAGAGTCAAAGTAGTTTGCTAAAACACCCACAGATAGCAGCTCTGCTTGTAATGTAGCTGGTTCCATTGTATTGCCAATTGGAGGGAGAAACCAGGACAGCAAGTTGATTTCAAAACTTACCAGACGGGAATTTTATGGTGAAATTTACTACCAACCTACACCACAATTATAGACTGGTATTAGAGACACAATACTGAAGCTTACCAACCGTCCTCGGCTAGATCCTGAGCCATACTAACTGGGTAATCCCCAGGGACGCACCATGGCACGCCATGCGTCACCGGGGACACAGTTGCAGCGAATGTGTTAGTGTGGATTTATCGTCGAATTTATCGTCGGAATTCAAGGGGATTTTTAAAAATTCGAGATATTAAGGAATTTGAGATATTAAGGTTCGAGTAATGTAGTTTCTACTGTATTAAAAGCAAAACTCCTAATCTTGATCCCTGTGGACACCATATTTGACGAGTTCCAGGTATGAAGCTATGTTCGTTAATTTTTTATTTTGTGACAAACGTTTTACTTAGAGATGTTTTTGAAACGCTAATATTCTTTAATTTTTCTTTAAACAATTAGATGATTAACACTGTTGAATGCTCATGAGAGGTCCATAAATACACCTGTTGTATGTTTGCCCTCGTCAACTGACTATTGATTCTATGAAGGATACTGTAGCACTTATAACACATCTTCCTGACCTGAAACTGTTCTTCAAGTCATCATATAAGTTGTGTTGCTCTAGATGATATGATGTAATTGTATAGGAACTATTTGGATTTTCTGAAATATTTTAGAAACAGAAGGAGAGCCACGGGTCTATAAGTATTAGAAACATTTTTTAGGATAATCTTATTATGGATTAGAATTATCTGGGCTATTTTAAGCTGTTTTACAGGAGTATTTGCTCCGCTGTATTTATATTTTCTATTTAATTGTTAAACAACTAAAATGCATCGAAATTCCGATTCGATTCAGTGGTGATCAAAAAACGATTTGATTCATGAGGGAGTCAGTATCCATATACAAAAAACGCCTGCAGAAATGGATACGCCTGCAATACACGTAATACTGGAGCGCGTTGATGTTGCGTTTCCTTTGCGAAGGCGTTCTTATTTAATTAATTCTTTGCTTGTAAATACTGCTTTAATTGTTTTATAATTTTTGTTTTGATATTGCAAATAATGAGAAGTTTTGTTAAGTGTAAGCAGTGCGAGACATTTCTTACTACTGAAATAGCCAAAACAAGTCACTCCAAAATTGTTCTAAAAATAACACAGTTCTGAAAAATTCTTACTTGATACTTAACTAGTAATTGATGTTTTAGAATGATAAATTTGGTATTTTGTTGTCTGCTATGTATTTCTCGTAGTTTTTAGGTCTGATTCTATCCTCTCATTTTATCAATTTGAACCAATTGAAAGTTTCAGTATAAATCTTGCAAATGTTTTTATTTGTTTACACCAAAACATATCTTTATTTGTAAAATCAATATTATAAAATAGGTAATATGCTAAACAAAAATTATGAAATAGGCAAGTAAAGTAGCTCACTGACATTTCCAGCAATACAGGTTCTTCTAATATATGATTGAATTGAATAGTACCGCATCAACAAAAATTTGCATTACACAAATGTGGTAAATTTTAATTAGCCTATTGTTACTTAACTCCATTGACAAGTATGAATAGAAAAATGCCGTATTGCTTCGAATCGAGTTGCTTTGATTCAAATCGAAAACCTTTTGAATCGTATCGTTGCTTCTAATCGAAAATTTTTTACTGCTTCGCACACCCCTATAAACAACAAAATTAAAAGTAAGTATATTATTTCATTTAAAAATATAAAGGCTAGCGTGGTTCTTCTTCCCTACATTGTAAAGGTAATTTTTGCCTTCATGCAAAACTAAATGGATTATTACATTCTTGGAACTGGCTTATGAATATGATTAATATAAACAAACACCTTTGTTTCAGCCTATCTCAGAATTAAAAAGAAGAGCATTTGCCCTAGCTTTAGAGACTTCTGAGGAGAACGTCAACCCTAACTATTCAATAGAGGTTAGTTTTATCAATAAATAAAACTAGGGTGTGTTGCTAGCCTAGTGGTTAGCGTCTCAGACTTTGATGCGGGAGGGACGCCCACGGGTTCCTGCAGACCTGCAGACTAAGCGAATTTCCATTTCCCTGATTGGATTTACACTAAAATTTCTCCTTAAAAATATCACATTCATTCCTTACTTAAATAATTACTTTAACGAGTAGGGCCTACTTAGGTTTACTGCACCAGGGAGGGTAAAAGTCTTTTTTTTCTTTTTTTTTTTTTTGTAAAATGGTAATAGTCTAGTAAGAAATAAATGCGTTTTCCAAATTTGATCAAAATATGTTCATAAACAAGCAAACTACAACTGTTTACTTATTCTCCATAAGAATAACATGGGAATTTTAAATTTATAGTTTTTTTGGAATTTTCTCCCTAACCATTAGGCGCATAATAACGCTTCAATACACTAAAGTATTTATTTTTTAAGCTCTACAAAATGGTTTGGAAAGAAATAGCTATATTTTATGTTTTTTAGGTCAAAAATGGGAAAACCCAATTTTTACCCCATAAAACCCCCCATAAACCCCCGTTCCCATAGTCCGATCATGCTGGTTCGCGAACTCGTTAGAATAAATGTAGGTTCACACCTTTATACCGAATTTCATTAAAATCGGATCATTTTTGCTCGAGTTATCGTGTTAACGGACATGTATATATATATATATATCTGTCTCTCCCCCCCACAACGGTACGGCGCGCGGTCGGGCTGGCTTCAACGAAACTCAAGCGCGTCCCCTCCTTAATGTTTAATCCTCCTAGGTGCCATCGCATAAAACAAAAGAAACTGGATAAAAAAATATTGTTCCTTCGATATTGATATCGTCCACTTATTAAATAATATCCTGTTATTTAGTTTCAGTAAAATAACGGCCTTAAAAATCACGACAAATTGTGTAACTGCTGTACTGTAAGTTGACTTGTATATTCATTGAACCTTTAAACACGTGTTTTGCTGTGAAACACTAATTTTTAAACCACAAAAACAGAGCAACCTACGTTTTTATCTTTTCAACAAATGTAATAAATCCTCAAAGCAACTATCTCCATTAATTTCATTTTGAGTATAACCAGCTGTTTCAAATATTAGTGTAAATTTGTAAATTATTCATCTGATCAAATGTAAACAAACATTTTCGCCATAAGAATAACATTAGAATTTTGAAGGGCACTGGGACAGGGCCCCAGTGGAATTTAAAAGATTTTTGGTTTAATGGCTAATCTACAGGCCATGACCAATCCTATAACGTCTTAAACATAGTCATCAGATGCATGGCAGCTTCAAAACAATTATCACAAAATTCATGATGGCCTATTATAAATAGGCCTATATATTAGTGATGGGCGGATCCAAGAAAATGTCGGTACCGGATCCGAATCCGGATCTTGAAAAAATCGGATCCGGATCCTCGGATTCGGATCTTTGGATCCAAATACAGATACGTTTTTCTTTTTTCAAGGGTGGGTTTTTTAAATAAAATAATTCATATGGCTAGGCAATGTCAAAGACTAACTGTGTCCATATGTCGTTATTGAAAACAAAGTTATCACAATTCTACGTTGCGCAATGATTATCTGATTATCGATCGTAATTTTGAGGGGATACGAAAGAGACATACTACCACCTATCGCGTTGTCTTTCTAACACAGCTATTCGTATTGTAATCTACAACGCAGTGCGAGTCCATTGGCTAAGTCGCTATGACGACACACGGTTGCCATGGCAACCAACAGTGCGCACTGAGCACTGCGCCTTATGTGTGAGGGGAGATTATACCAACAAACTATTTCAGGAATTCCATTTTGGGACGGATGAAAGATAAGGAAGAAACAAAAAGTGGTCACGTGTGCAGATGTAGTGGGCGAGACAATAAGGCTATAAACGAGTATTCGAGTATTGTCGCGTCGTTGTTCCTTGTTTGTTTACTTTTTCAGATTCCCTATCAAACGCCCCTATCTGCTATCTCTCTCTCTCCCCCTCTCTCTATCTCTAACGATGTACTGATTAAACAGATTGTGGTTGACGACTTTTCTACTTAAGATTCCCTGCGGTTATTTTAGTTCAATCAATCCCATAACCTTTCTATCGTTTATCAAAATAATTAATTAATCTGTTTTGTATTTTATTTCCTTTAAACCAACCTCTATTTACCATCTGTATTTTATAGAATAAAATGTTTGTTTATAAAGTTTGACTGGCCACACAATTTTGTACCTATTTTATTTTGTATAAAGTAACAGTTACTTTGATTATTATATATCTTCTAATATATAAAATTCTCGTGTCACAGTGTTTGTCTGCAAACTCCTCCGGAACGACTTCACCGATCGTTATGAAATTTGGTGTGTAAATTCTGTAGGTATGCGAATCGGACGTAAACTATTTCCCGTTTCGAAATTCTTAAAAGGGCTCCGCCCCAGTGGCTCTGGAGTTTCCCATGTTAACCTTATGAGAAATGGAATTAATGAATCTTAACAGCTGTTTCAATTAAACAAGTTGGTTCTGTTCTATGATGTTCAATAGCATTAAAGTTACAAGGATTACCAACAGGGTGCAGCACTATTATTTCTTTTACATTTATGACAACAGCTAATTTGCAACCAAAAGGTGAGTGAGCGTAGCGAACGAACTTCAACCTGGAGGCGAGTTAGCGTAGCGAACGAGCTAACCTGAAGGCAAGTGAGCGCAGCGAACGAGCTCCAACCTAAAGGTGAGTGAGCGTAGCGAACGAGCTCCAACCCAAAGGTGAGTGAGCGTAGCGAACGAACTTCAACCTGGAGGCGAGTTAGCGTAGCGAACGAGCTAACCTGAAGGCAAGTGAGCGCAGCAAACGAGCTCCAACCTAAAGGTGAGTGAGCGTAGCGAACGAGCTCCAACCCAAAGGTGAGTGAGCGTAGCGAACGAGCTCCAACCCAAAGGTGAGTGAGCGTAGCGAACGAACTTCAACCAGGACGTGATTGAGCGATGCGAACGAGATCATCTTGAAAATTAAACGTAACGGTACTTTCTTTCCATCGGTCTGTCTTAGGGGAAACCTATAACTTAGGCGATACGAAGTTCGCCGGGTCAGCTAGTATATATATAAGTGATGCGTGCTGTAATGAATGCTTTTTATTATCAAAATAAGTAATGAATTATTAATTTTTGATAATACATGGGTCATTGAATACTATAATGTCATGTAGTTTCCTATTTGTAACTTGCAAATAATAATAATTGATGGTTAATTCTGGAAAATGAAAAATAGTGAACGCATTCATAAACCTGTTGTCAAAACAGCAACGCAGGTGTAAAGGTCCATTTCCTATCCTGCGACTGTTACGACTCTAGCCGCGCGTCTAGAGCCGTACGGCTGGCGACTCCTACGACTCCCACGACTAGTGACTTAATAATAATAATAAATCTTTATTGTCGTTTGGTAATATAAACATTACAATAGACAAGGTCAACATGTTTTGTTACATATGTTATATAAAATATTAAATATTCTACAGAAAATGTTAAAATAAAGTTAAAAGAATCTTAACACGTTGGGTGCTGATGACGGGAATTCCCGCAATTGCTTAACATTGAAATAAATGCAACTTTTATGTTCAAACATGTCGACCGCACGAATAGTGTTAAAAGGATAAAGCATCAGTAATAATAAAAACTTTAAAATTAACAGGGAAAAGACCATAACAAGACCAAAGAATCATCAAGACTGCTTGGCCTCACATTTAAGCGTTGAAAAATCTTCATTCTGCAAAAACTCATCAACTGAATAAAACGCACGACTTGTAAGCCAATCTGATAATTTGACCTATACAAATGAATACTTTCCTGATTTCTAAAATATATTGGAAGTTTATTAAATAGTTTTATTTGCAAATATTTATAACTTTTGATAAATTTTGATAGCCTGGCTTGAGGAATATATAAATCTTTTGATTGTCCAGTGATATACCCATGGATTGAGTTGCAAAACAACATAACCAAACATTGCCATACAGCAAGTGTGAGTGAAATAAACTGTGGTAAACAATTAGAAGTGTTGGTTTAGAAACACAATTTTTAAGTTTTCTTATCAAACAACATACTCTTGACAATTTTGAAATGATATTATTGGTATGTATTTCCCAAGTGAGTTTAGAGTCTATGGATATTCCGAGTAGTTTGACAGAAACTGCATTGTCTGCTTCAAGATTACGCAAAGTAAAACAAATTTTTTCTATTTTATCATGATTTATTTCCAGAAAATTACTTTCAAACCACAGCTTACCCAATTCAATGGCGTTTTCTATACTTTGGTTTGCAGAGTAAAAGTTGTCAGCTGATGAGATGAAGGTTGTGTCGTCAGCATATAAAATTGTTTTACAAGGTATGGAGTTTGGCAAAACATTAATATAGAGAATAAACAAAACCGGACCCAGTACTGACCCTTGAGGAACCCCAGCAAGGACCTCCTTAAAATTTGACCTATGTTTTAAGGAGGTCCTTGCTGGGGTTCGTCAAGGGTCGGTACTGGGTCCGGTTTTGTTTACTCATTGTTTATTTATTTTGTTGACTTGTGAAATTGCACTACTGACCGTCATGGAATAAGCACAGTTGGCAGCGAATATATTACTTGGAGAAAGGGAGGAAAAGGAATTATTAATGTGCATGGTAAAAAACGATGAACAACCTAATCCATTGTTCATGGTACGGTGAAAATAGCGGTTTCAGAGTATTCTTATTCAGAGACATCTTCTTCAAGTATTGGGGGTGAACGTATGGGTGGTGACGAACCAGTTCCATTAACTTTGAATCATCTATGAAGGTACACACCTCAAACTTCGTATGTATAAACTATAAATTCGTTACAGCCGCGCTCGAGTCGCTTCAGTCGCGCGGCTGTAGACGCTCGATAGGAAACGGTTGCATTTACTTTGCATGGGTGAGGTTCATAATGTCCAAATTTCACAAACTCCAACGTCTAAA